CGCCATGGAAACTGTGCGCAATGGCCCGGGAACGGTTACCCGTATAGCCACCAGAGCACAGTATTCTATTTTCAATCGAAGCCCGTCTCGATTCTCATCAATATCTGCTCCGGGCAGCAGCCGAAGTTCACCAAAATATTATAGCTATCTCAATAACAACTGTAATGTTTTAGAAATGCCATTTAAGTAATAATATATATTCATATATAATCGAATTGCGTATAATTAATGTAGTATTTGTTTGTTTTGTTATTCATTTTTTCTCTTTTAATTGTTCCTCGTAAGACAGGAAACTAGTTTCCAGTTTCATTTGGCTTCGTCCAACTATTTTCATTTGCCGGCGGCATTTCAGCTCGCGCCGACCTACATTTGGAAGTCGAGTTTTAATTTTGGAAAAATTCATTAGAAACCATTAAATTAGCAAGAATAGCTTTTGAAGCCACAGTATAGAATCTTGAAATAAATGAACAATTAACGTCCGAATGCAAATTGTAATTTATGGGATCTTTGGCTTGAAAGTACGAATCAATTTTCTGCTTTGTATGAATTAAATTCTTAAAGAACTGGGAGCATTTGCTTCAGTTCATCAGTGAATTGACCTCATGACCCAAGGAACAGGGTATGTAACTGACAGAAGGAGGCAAAGCAAAAAACTGATCTATCAAATCAGGGACTTTAATTTTCAGAATGCAGATTCATATGTATATACCATAAGCAAGAATAAACAATAAAAATATATTGAACGCATTCTATTCATTCATCATATTAATAGTAATCACATATAATAGTGCTGAGGAAAATATATCAACTAGGCCCGCTTCTTTACATACACCTCTCTTCATAATCCATTGCAAATTAAAAAGCTGTAGATGTGTTATAGGTTTTGTCAACTCTTTTAGCACTTTCTACAAGACCTCATAATTTATGGGATATTTATGAATAATATCGATGTATTTTGGAATAATGGAGTTTTAGAAAAGGATCCACTTCATTAATACAATAATACGCAAACCCTATATGCCGGTTGGGACGTCAGTTTCCAAGATATAGCCATATATTGTCAAAGCAGTCAGCAGCAGCGCTGAATTTGCATAACTGGAATGCAGAAATTATTTTAATACATGCATTGCATAAAATTCACCTTTTTATGTGCATGCGTATTGCCATTTCTTAAAGTTGGACGGAAGCCAGCAAAACAAAAAAACTGAAAAGCGAAAAAAGAGAAGAGAGAAGAGAGAAGCGAACGCTATTTCGAGTAGGTATTCCCTTTAGCGGAGTACTCATACGGAATCGAGGAGCTCGAGTCGCAGAAGCTGCTTATGCAAATACTGCGACTGCGAGTCCTGTGGGCTAAGATTAATATTTTAGTCACGTTAATTCATTCATATTCATTTTAAGTGAAGTTCAGGAATAAAGTCCGTAACTTATTTTGTGCCCAAGAGGCACGCAACTTGGTCGACGCCGACTTGTGTAAATCCATAAAGCGTTCGATTTATAACGATGCCCCGGCTGTAATCGCAAAGGGGAATGGTCTAGACTTTAGAGGAGAAAGACTCTGTCACAGAGCCTGTGGAAGGTAGATGACGGACTGATGAATCTAAGTTTTTCCATCTTCTGCAACCAGCTGCCAAGACTCAGGTCCATTGGCCGAAACAATTAAGCAAGGACGTGCAGCTGACGAGACAAGACCTAAGTAGATGAATGGGGGAAGCCGGCCAATTTCATTAGATGCCCTGCCGGAAGAGATAGACGCAATGTCACTGACAACGAGCGAGAAATCTGTTGTTGCTATTAAAACTTTGACAACATATTTTGTTCGGCACTTTGGGTGGCCAAACTGAGAAGAAGAAGAGACGAAGACCATTTTTCTGCCAATATTAGCATGAAATTCGATGTCAACTTGGCCGAATAGGGCTAATACAGCCCTGCAATACTAATTAGTCGTCGTTGCCTTTGTACATATCTTGCCAGCCTACCTCAGCTCGTCAATGTGAAGATATTAACATATCTGCATAAATTTATATGTGTATATATAGTATATATTATATATTAACATATCTGCATAAATTTATACATATATATATATATATATATATATATATATATATATATATATATATATATATATAGAAGCGCAGACAGACGAACCCAGCAACAGCTATATATCTCTATAGAAGAGTATTTAGCTCATACTCACGCATTTTGTGCCAATGCTATAATGGGCCCGTACAAGGGTATAAAAAGCCAAGTCAACAGCGGTTTATTTGCCTTTCGCCTTGTACCCGGAACAGACATAGGCTCAATGATTATATTTGGTTCAGTCGCTGCGACATTCATCGAAATATGAAAGCGGGAAAATCAACATTGTAGCGAAGTGAAGACAATTCACTTGGGTTTGTTTTCTCTAATATCTAGCCGCTTTTTTTATTTGCTTTCATTCCATAAGTATATCTAGGTGTGTTCCTCCGGAATTGCGAGCCGCGAGCGTCCCTTCAAGTGGTTTCAGCGGCATCTATGACCACAAAACGTAAACATGAGCAGAGTTGAAGAACTCAGAGCTAGCCACGTATTCCCAGCTCTCATATAGATGTAGCTCACGTGTATTAGCTTAGCTATGCACTGCACGAAAAAGCTTAGTCAAAAGTTTTCAGTTTTTATTAAGCTGGAAACTTCTTCAATATGTCTCAATACCAGACGTATATTAAATATAAGTGAAAAACTATGCAATCAGATATGCTTATGATGATGAGCTAACATAATCAGATTACTATACATAAATAATTTGTTCAATATTCATTTTGTGTGATTTACTATTGTCTCTTCCCTCTTTTTCTGTTTCTGGTCTATTGAAGCTTAGACTGGGAAATATATTCCAATAGAATATATATATTTCATACATCTCCAGATCCCATAGATCTTACGCTAATTCTTAAGCTGGGACTTCCGCCTATGAAATATGCTGATCGCTTAGTAGAGCTGATCTTAGTAATAGGTTTTTATTAGCGAATTCAGATCGTTCGTGTTCAGAGTCAATTTATTCATTTCTCCTTTCTATTACAACCAGTCTAACAACCTTACACATTTTTAAAATGTTTTATTCAAGATAATTTAAGACTGCAACAAGCAAGGGGGCAGCAGTGTAGGCAATATTATGAGGCCCAGGAGTCTAGTACTTGAAATTAAATCCGAAGTCTATAGCACTCAAATTACGGTTACACAAACGAAATCAGACTATATTTTATTATCGATAATAAAGAATTCAGATACTCGCAAGCTCAAGCACGAGCTCGTACTGCATATGGTACAAAATTTCATATGTATTCTGAGATCGCAGACTTCGTAAGTGGAACGGGTGGACGGACATATATATCCCGATCAACTCAGCATGTCGCCATGAACAAAAATATAATATATAAATAACTCCTGGGGTATGCCAGGCTTCTTCTGCTGGTTACATACATTATAGATATTAAATGATTATAACTATGAAATCAAAGTATTTTATATCTAATTTATAATGTGGGATAGGAATTGTGTATTATCAACATATGGAGCATTGGAATTTAGGTAAACTAACATGTAATTAAGCCGACCTATTTAAATTTATTGGTGATCATAGACTAACAATATTCTTAGGTTAATTTGCTTAGATTTGTGGAGCTAGTACTCGAGTTTTCTTTGTTCTGATATTATTTTGATATAAACTAAGCTATTCGTTTTTTTAAAATACCTTTACTCGTTTGCTCTGTAACTGAGCGCCCAGTTGGCCTAAGATATTTCTCAGTGTAACGCTTTTGAAACTCGTCTGCACTTCGAGTTGTCGCAAATCCCAGGTATGCCAACCAGAAAAGCCAGCCGAGGAATTATAGGATATGTGCATTTGTAAACTGGAACGGAGGCATTCTTCTGCATCGTTACTTTTGCAGAAATAAAAGAAAAGCCAACCTATCATGGACGTGGGTGGACAGCCAGCCAGGCAGGTCGGTCCGAGAGCATCGGCTCCCTGCTCGCTCGCCTCCTGCAACCAAATCGTTGCAACTGCTGTGCAAATAATTGTAGAGAAAACGCTTGGCTCTGTCCAGACAGAAGGCATGAGCGCTTCGCTCCAATCCCCTGGATGAAAAGCGACCACATAGAGCCGTCCATGGCGTTGGCCACGTCCACCGGGAGCGGAGAGCCAACAACAGCCGGCAGCCAATTCGCCGAGTGACTGCCACTTGAAACTGATTTACTTTCGGCAACTTATTGCCCCTGCCTCACAAGCGTTATGGCCAACAATCCTACCTCGACTCTGACTCCGAGCCTGGCTCTCTGTCTCGGAATGCTGCTACCGTCGACATCGACACGTTTACAGCTGCCAGAAGTTTTCTCATTTTGGCAAGATGCTCGCTCGTAACGAAAATTGTCGACTTTGCCAAGCGCCGTTGGGATACAACAACAACAACAACAGCGACAACGAATTCCATAGCAAATGCGATGAGAAAATTGGAACCGCATGCAGCAGGCAACATTTCTCGTAAAAGGTTCTGCTATTTCTTGTCGCCAACAAGCATCCTTATCAGCAGACGAAAGCCATCCTAATAATAGACCCAAAGAGAGAAAGAGAGAGAGAGAGAGAGAGAGAGAGAGAAGTAGGTCCGCATTTAGGGTAGTGGAAATGATTGCTGCATTTATAACATAAACAGGTGTCAATGCACTGAGATGCGGACTCGAAATTGAGCTTGCGATTGAGCGAGAGCAAACAAATCAAAGCCATGTATTCGTTGAAGTTCTCATAGATATATCCGAATTTATTGATTGGCAACTTATCAACAGTAAAACAGAGTCAGTCAGAAAAACATTAATTCGTGATACCTATTTCGTGTCATTCAAATTTAATTAGAGCTCTTCATGAGCGGGAAACATCCAACTTGAATACAATTTGAATTTGCAATGATATGTAAATCGAATCTGATTATAAGGATTCCGCTTGATATTGCGACGAAAGTTCTGGTTCTTAGATTTATGCATATGAGAAAACTTACTTTACTGTATTAAAAATAAGGGAATATGTGTGTACGTATATACAATCTAGAGATAATTGATTATATAAATGATCTCCTAGTAGGCAAGTAGGCCTTGAAGCTGTGTATATATCCTGCATCCTATTCGAAAACAATTAATCTATCTAGTTTCAAGTTTCCATAAGAGACGAATGGGCAAATATAATGTCATGAAATTTTTGAAAATTACAGGATATTCCATGATATTCCACAAAATGTTTTAACTACGTATATCCAGTACTCAGAAGATTGCCTCCTCTGTGCAACCCTGTGCAACCCTGGCAGCTGGCATTAAGCTAATTACATTTTGCTTTTCACATCTTACAATTATTTACACTTTCCAAAAATTATAGCCGTAAGAGTTTGCTGTCTGGCATATTTTTCGTTTGTTGTTTGTTTTTGGTTTTTTTTTTTTTTTCGGGAAAATATGAGCTTGGGAGTGGGTAGGTTATTATTTACGAGTTCCACGTCGTTGCAAGAACAACAGACCTTGAAAGCAAATTAGGCACAACCTGCGCGCAATTATCGTTAGTTTCCGCAATGTATCGCAAAGGGTTGAGTTCAGGCTCAAGGCAACGCGGCCGTGGCTATAAGAACTCCCTAATGTGGCCCGATGTTATTGTTGGTGATGAGCTCAATGCCAGTGCAGCAGTCCTCCTGAGTCGGCCATCGTAAAAAATAAAATGGGAATAACAAACAGAAGGGCTCAAAGCGAGCGAAAGTGAAAGGCGAACAAGGACGCCGAGTAGTGAAAGGGTTGTTGTTGTTGTTGTTTACTTTTAAAGGCCATATGCAAGAGATGCCAGCCAGGCCGTAGCTGGGCCATGCCTTACCAGATACCAGATACCAGTTCAAGCCTACGCATTATAGCCGCACAGTCGGCCCATTGACTACTTGCGGCTAGTGGCCGATCACCAGCCTCGGTAGGTGAGCCCGACTCTCTCGCGTGAGTCTGCACTCTCTCGTTGGTCTGGTTTGCACGCCTCTGCAGTGCCGCTTGCCAGCTCAACTTTTTACGGTCTACGAGAGCTGGCAGTAAAAAGTAAAAGCCATTAAAAATTTTACTGCCTCTCAAGGTCGTCTGCGTGGATTTTATTTCACTTTTATAGCGCCGTTGTCACCAAGACATCGGCGAGACGGCTGTCAACAATTGCTGTCAGGTTCTCGACTGACCCAATTTGATTAAGTGACACTTTGAGCACTTCAGCACTTCATTGATGTCGTCCTAATAATGTGTGTAGTGTCAGCCGGGTGGACCATTCACTGGCTCCTATACTGCACATTAAACCTGCTGATCAGCTTAAAGAACAAATATGTAAATATTGTGTGTGAGCCAAAGGGTTGTTGCTGTTCTACTACGAAGATGCAATAAAATACTTGTAATCAACATAAATAGCTCTCATATTGACTTTTCTTCAAGCTAGATTTTAACTCTGCAAGCTCCCCTGGTAAGGCGCTTTAGTCGCAGTAGTTGGGTGACTCAATTTTCAAAACTACATTTACATTATGAAGGTCTACTTAGCCTATTTGCCAATTTTGGGCACGCTTCGAACCGCAACGAAAATATGTAAGACGCAAGTGCCGAAACGAAATCCAATAGCTGCCATAACATACATGCTGAAACATTCATGAGTCCAAATTGAACACGTCTCAGAGTCAGAGTCAGAGTCAGAGTCAGAGTCAACCACAGCAACAGCGACTTCAGACGAATTGGTCTGCGCCCGACTGCAGTCTCAGCTCGATTGAGTCGAAATGCGTTCAATTGAGCTTAGTTTCTCTGGAAGAGGGCGGAAGGACGGGATGGGAAGCAAACTGCAATTAAGGTCTGCTTGAGTGGGTCCAGCAGGAGCCAACGCACTCGACAAGAACTTCGCTCACGTAGCTCGCACTGCATCTCGGAGATATTTTTACACCTTTCTCTGAGAAGACGAATGGCAATTCAAGCATTGTGAATGCATAGATTTTGTGTTTCAGATATCTCGTTGCTTTTACTAGTATACTTGGAATCCACTACAATCAAAATGAAGCAAGTATAAGATACCCTAGAGTCAGTTTCATATGCCATATGAGAAATGTATCATGGAATCAATTAAAAGATTCGTTTGTTAAATTAAATAAATAAAATGTATAGACCTATTCTCCACACATAAATGTGAACATAATCAGTCTACCCTTTCATGCTGCTCTGACTGGTAGCAGGGTATACAATAATAAAATATATTAAACAGTAAGAAGGGGGACCCCGTCTCACAAATTCCTTGGCCAATTTATCGTGCCGAGGAATGGGAGAAATTCTCAGTGAAACGCGCGCAGAGGGAAGCGAAGGCGTGGCATGTCTAAGCGGGTGTAGGGATCAAGCTTGTGTCTGGATACACCCAACTTGTGCATTTTGAATTTTTGGTAATTTTAATATTCGTTTCATTATTTTGCACTGACAGCCATTGGGAGCAATCGAAACGAAAAATTGCTTTGAGCCATAAAATGGCTTGGAGTCTAACTCAAACCCGACGTTTGGCAAATAAGCAAAATAAGAACTGAGCGAAACTTAATCCCATGGAGACTAAAATATATGTATTTTCTGTTGTACAAATTACTTAATCTCTTAGAGTATATGATTTATTTATGTTTTACACAAGTCCGGATTTATTGCCTTCTAAAGAATGGGAACATGAGCCAGTCGTAGCAATTCAATAATCATGGGGGGTTACAGTCTCACATTCTTAAAACGAACTCCAATTCCTGAATTCGCCAGCTCGTTGACTTAATTTGAAAAGTACAACTAGTTCGATCGTATCCGACTCTGTAATACTCGTTCACATTAGTTAGCAGCGACTTAAACAATTATGTAAGCTATTAATTTTTCAATTTGGGGCAAATTTAAGGGGACAAACACAACTTACACTGAATTTCTGAATTTGAATTGCTAGAGATAATGTCCAGGGTATAAAAAACATTTGAAAACTACAGTAGCTGCATTGGAGTCTGTTCGGCAGCAGCCTGATTAATTGTCGACTTTGTAAACAGCGCGCAAACAGTAGTTTCATGCCCGGGTCACCCTGTGCCGGCAACGAAAATCCAATATAACCCAGTTCCAAAGAGAACGAGAGCATTCTCTTTGGCAGCCTGTGCGAGCTGTCTCTCTTGCAAACGCAGCTGTTTCGGGGTTGACTCTTACCACCACCACTGGAGCACAATATTTTTAGTTGGGCGAAAATTATAAATAAAGTGTTCCGAATGTGAGGAATGTTTGCTTTTATTTATGCGCCGCAGCTCGAGCCAGCCGGCAGGCTAAATAAAGATTCGAAAACAGAAAAATTCAACTAATACATTTTAAATTATTGTCATTGAATGCATTTATACCCCATTGAATTCATGCGAATGTAAATATGACAGAGTAAATTCTGTTTCTCATTGTAATTGTTGTTGGATATACTCATACATTCGCTAACGTCAGATATTAGGAGTAAGAAATTAAGGCACAAAGTGGCTCCGCTTAGCGATCCACAGGTTGCGGCTGCATCTCATTTGACAAGCGGAGCTCGTACAAGCTCAAGCAGAATGTTGACAAGCAATAAATTGTGGCCACCGATGAGTTTATTAGTCGAGGGGCAATGCATTGGCCCCCCGCAGCCAGCACTGCCGTGCTGTGTTGGATTGGCTCGTAAATAAGCATCGCCTCGGAATATTCGCTGGCTAGCCGGCAACAAGCACTTAAGTCCCCACCTCCCTGCCCATCCCGCTTCCGCATCCTCTTTCGCGTTCAACGGCATTCCCGTTTATCGATGCTGACGATGATGACGATAATGGGCTACTCATGACTCGCTGCTGATGCCAAATCGATTATGACTCGATGGCATATTTTGTATGCAGCCGATATGCTCAGAGCTCAAGATTTTCGTGGCAGCAAACTAATGGAAGACCGTGCCGAGGCAAGACGCTGCGCGATGTCACGAGCGCGAGTTATGGTTAAGTGCACTTTTTTCGCTGTCGACTTTGCTGCTTCCCACCAAATGCAAATTCTGTGTAATGAGCATCACATTCTGGAGTTGGGCCACTTTCATTTTAGTCAAAAACTTGGCTAATGCCATGCCCACACTCCCCATGCCCATGCCCATCTCCCTCGCCACCCTCACTCCCATCCCGATCTCCATCCATCTGGCGATGCGCTTCATGAGCTTTGTGCAGAAAATTTGAATATTGTTAGGTTGGCTTGCCATTCGAGCACAGTCCGCCTACCTAGCAGTCGCCCGAGCTCATCTGGGAGTCATGCCCACGTACACCCTTCGCCATGCGCTCTTCGTGTGTGTGTGGTTGTGTGTGTATTTTGGTGGTGGAAACAAGCGCTGCAACCACCACCGCCACCACTACCAGCCCGAATCAGGCTCGTAGCACACGTTGACGACGCGTCGTCATTATTTGCACTTTGCCCTGCATCCATCCAGACGGAGATGGAGCCGAACTCTTTGCCGGCTCCCAGCTTCGTGCCCCCAGCAAAGCGTCATTTGTTCAAATTTGAAGCGCTGCCTGCGGAGCTGTGCGTCTCTTATTAATTTTCGCACAGCTACGTTAGAATATCATCTCGTTCTTTTCACCAACATCCATCCATCCACCCATCCATCCATCTATCCACTCTGGCTACGTTTTGTTCTAGACCGTTTAGAGCCAATTGCGTCTTTGGATTTTGTCTATGTTGTTGGCTTTGGCCTGAGTTTGAGTTTGAGTTTGAGTTTGGTTTGGGTTCGGGTTGCGTTTCATTAATTAACTGAAATGGTCTCGGCGAGCTTCGCACGTTACAACAATGAATTATTTATATCAAATGTGTCTGGCTTCTCTTGTCTATGTCTTCTGTTTTTCCTTCTCCTTGCATCTTTGTTGTTTTGGTTCGCTTGCTCGCAAATTTGTTGCCATTTTAATTCGACTCATTCACATGTCTGATTTTCATTGTCATTGGCCATTGGTGTGCTGTCGCTA